CAAGAAATACTGGAAGCTGGCTGATCTATTTGTAGCTAGTGATGCTGACACATCTGCTTGTGTTGCTAAGGCTAGAGGCAGATGGCAGAAACTCTTTTGCACTTAAAAATGGTCAAGTAGTAGTTTGCAACTCATATTTTGTTTAATATTGACTTTTTTTTATATAGTGGTCCACATTTTGCTTTCATTTATACTTACATAGAAATAATTATTCCCCAAGTAATTCCAGAGAAAGCAGTTTGTCCTGAAACGTTGGCAGAGGTGGGTCCTGCAGTGACCTCTGACTGTGGTCCAGCTTTACCACAACCGTTCTGCCCCTAAACCAAGTTTTGGGGCTATGCTTTCTGCTGAGCAGTCCAACTTAGTTACAGCCAGGGCCCTTTCCTCAAGGCATTTGTGGCCTTTCTGGATCTCAGTCCAGGTTTTGCATTTCAGTGCCATGTCTAAGACAAGACCTGCTCTTGTCAAGGTCACGGTTTATCCGTACACACCAAGGCAGTGCTTGGGATGGCTGCCTGGTCTGGCACTGCTGCCAGCTCTGCTGCCTCCCATCCTGCTCAGGATGGTGGTGCCGATGTTCTGTCAGGCATGGCCCTCATTTTGCACAGTGATGATGAAAAAACCTGGGTTCTGCAGCGTGCCAAGGAGCAAGAGTGAACCCCAACAGTTCCCCCTAAAAATCCTCTGGAGGTTTTTATATAAATGAGGGCTGTGGGGTTTGGGGCAGAGGGCTCAATTCCTGGTCCATCCTAAATGGGCCAGATAATTGCTATTGCAGCCCATGGAAAGGTGAAGCATGGGTGGTGATGTTTGGGAGTGTTTCTTCCTTGGTGGGTTTTTGAGGGGGGTAGTTTTGGTCCTATGTCATTGGGACAAAGGGCTTGGATTTGGGGTGCTAGAGATTTATTCTCATCTGCCTGTGTGATCTTGGCAACTCCTTATTTGCTTCAATATCCTCAGCTTCTCTAAACTGCAGTCCTACTGCTTGAGCCAAGCTGTGTGTTTGCTCACGCTGTGGTGGGATTCATTGCTTGCAAACTGGCTTCCTTGGGCACTAAGAATTGCAAACAGCAGGTGGGAAATCACCAACAAAAGAAATTGCCAACCAGAGCTCCTTAGAGCTCCCAGCTGTTGTGTTTTTCATCTTTTTACAGTTTCTGAAGGCTTGCATTTAAACTAAATGGGTTTGGGAAATAAGACTGAGCAATTTCCTCCTCCTGATCCTTACTGTCCTTGTCCAGGTGCCATTGCCAAAGCAGCTGGAGTGAGACACCAGACTGACCCGACGAAAACAAACTGGAATAAAGACTGTTCAGGTTTTGCTTACAACCGTTTCAGCAGATGTTTTCTGCAGAACCCAAGTGGTACACGTGGCTCTTTGGGAACAAAGTTTGCAATACATACTGATAAAAGTGTGGTGAAAATGGCTGGCATGAGAAAAGTCAGTGCTAAGCGTTTCCATCAGGTATCGAAAAATCCCGGTGCCATCTGTCTGCCAAGTGGATTTCAGGCTCCAGTTTGTTGTGGGAGTATTTTCTCAGAGGCTCCAATAACCTTGCCTTTCTCATTTGTCAGCAAACTATTTTGCTTCCACGTTGTCCTTCTGCTGCCAGATTCAGCAGG